CTGAGGCAGCACGACCTGCCGGTTGACATCATCTGCACGCCCACTCAGATCATCCGACTGACTTCCAAGATTCCCAAACCCTTAGGTGAGAGCCCTCAGGTGATTGAGGATATCGTCTACTGGCATCTGCTGTGCTTTGAGTCGACTCAAAGCGCACCCTTCTTATCCCCTCATTGCCTCCATGTGTCACTCATTGCCATCTGCTGCCCCCCAAGAGCTGGCTCAGTTTCACATCCTGCAGCGACTCTAGAGCACCTGTTCCCACCTATCCACAACCCATTGTAACCCTTTCCACCCCTTCACACCCCCCAGGTATGTACTGGCACCTGCTGTCCCCCAAGAAACTAGCCCAAATCCGCATCTTGCAGCAACTCAAGAGCACCCTGGAGGCCCAGTCAGGCGCCGCCCTCCCGCTGGGTCCAGACGAGGAGCTGCCGCCCGTTGCCGCCCGGCACGGGAAGGAGAGGCGGGGGAAGGAAGCGGGAAGGGGTGGGGGGAAGGTGGGGGAGAGAGGAGGGGTGGGGAGGGGGAGAGGGAGAGGGGAGAGGAGGGGAGGGGAGGGGAGGGGAGGCGGAGTGAGAGAAAGGTGTGGAGGAGAGGGGAAGAGAGTGAGCAGCGAGCAATGTTCACGCTGTCCAAATGGTTCATACCGTAATCGCCCGGATATAAGACCCCCCCCAGTTGTAGACCCCCGGGTATATAATACGGACGTGGGTCTTATATTTGGGTATGTTTTTGTTATACCCCCCTTTTTGGCTGAAAACATTATAAGACCCCCACCTTTACAGTGAACGTATGATTTTTTTAATAGAATAGAGTCGTTTTGTGAAGGAGAACATAATGTTTCCTCTTCGGATGAAGTCACATGGGCATCGCACCGTCAATGTTGTGCATTCTTTTGTTTTTTCCGCCATTACGAGGCTCATGAATCAAAGCTTGACCAGTTGCGAGGGTGATGCCACCTGGCAAATGCCTGACTGTGCGATTCTCATGGTCTTGCTTTGAGATTCGTTTGACTTGATTGGCTATGTGGTTGTCCAATCAGAGAGCAATATCTGGATTTCACATTCACAAACAGTCGTCACAAAAACATCCTCTAAAAACGAATCAAACACCAACATGAGCTTTGCATTCAAATACAAGTGAAAAAAACATGTTCATTTGTAAAGACCCGGGTCTTATATTACTATGACAATATGAGAAGACCCCCCACCATTTTTTCCCGTAGTTTTCATAAGACCCTAGGGTCTTATCCCCGGGTGATTACGGTATTAGTATTTCCTCTTCTTTTTTTGTGTGTTTTTTTTCTTCATTTTAAAAGAATGGTATTTATTTGCTACTGTGTCTGCTCTGCTGAAAGTGTAAAAAACCCAAGCAAACTTGAATGAACCACTTGGCAACAAGTTGGCTTTTTGCATTTTATACTGTAGCCGTCAATGAGTTTGGCAACAAGTCCCCCTGCCCACACAATTCTCTTGCCCTTGCCCTCCGAGGACAAATGCCCTAGTGTAGCCAGAGCTACGGAATGAAGTATGGATAATGGACCCAGCTGAAGACATTCTTCCACATGCATCCCATCTTACCCTCGCCCTCGCCCTCGCCCTCGCCCTCACCCTCACCCTCACCCTCACCCTCACCCTCACCCTCACCCTCACCCTCACCCTCACCCTCACCCTCACCCTCACCCTCACCCTCACCCTCACCCTCACCCTCACCCTCCCCCCTCCGCCACTCCGTTTAACCTCTCCATCAGTTCAGCCTGCTCGTCCGACGTCTGCCCGTCACCCCTCCAGCGTGGCCACAGCTTCGATCCCCTGATGCCGCGCTTCCAGTCGCATGTGAACCCATGAGCTTTGACCCACTACCCCTCTCTCCATCCCCATTCACCCCTCTATTGCAGCCAGAGATTAGACCCCCTGATGCCGCGCTTCCAGTCGCCCCCCACTGCCTTTCAACATGTGAGCCCTTGAGACATGGAGGCTTAAAAGCACTCCACCAATCTGCTCTCGTCCCCCCTTCCCCACCCATCCCCGGTGGTGCTCTGGCAATGCTGTCGGTGGTGCCAATGGTGACGATGCAGCCAGACGGGAGGGAGGGAGGGAGGGAGGGAGGGAGGGAGGGAGGGAGGGAGGGAGGGAGGGAGGGAGGGAGGGAGGGAGGGAGGGAGGGAGGGAGGGAGGGAGGGAGAGAGAGGGAGGGAGGGAGGGAGGGAGGGAGGGAGGGAGGAGGGAGGGAGGGAGGGAGGGAGGAGGGAGGGAGGGAGGGAGGAGGGAGGGAGGGAGGGAGGGAGGGAGGGAGGGAGGGAGGGAGGGAGGGAGGAGGGAGGGAGGGAGGGAGGGAGGGAGGGAGGGAGGGAGGGGGGGAGGGAGGGAGGGAGGAGAGAGAAGGGAGGGAGCGGGTGGAGGTTGGGTGAGTCAGCGCAAGTGATGGCATGTCAGTGCAAGTGATGGCATGTCAGTGCAAGTGATGGCATGTCAGTGCAAGTGATGGCATGTCAGTGCAAGTGATGGCATGTCAGTGCAAGTGATGGTATGTCAGTGCAAGTGATGGCATGTCAGTGCAAGTGATGGCATGCCAGTGCAAGTGATGGCATGCCAGTGCAAGTGATGGCATGTCAGTGCAAGTGATGGCATGTCAGTGCAAGTGATGGCATGTCAGTGCAAGTGATGGCATGTCAGTGCAAGTGATGGCATGTCAGTGCAAGTGATGGTATGTCAGTGCAAGTGATGGCATGTCAGTGCAAGTGATGGCATGCCAGTGCAAGTGATGGCATGCCAGTGCAAGTGATGGCATGTCAGTGCAAGTGATGGCATGTCAGTGCAAGTGATGGCATGTCAGTGCAAGTGATGGCATGTCAGTGCAAGTGATGGCATGTCAGTGCAAGTGATGGCATGTCAGTGCAAGTGATGGTATGTCAGTGCAAGTGATGGCATGTTAGTGCCCCTGGTGATATGACTTGAAGCCTCCCCGCCTCGGCCCATCAAACTCAGCCGTGAGACGTGTGTAAGTTGCGCCCACAGCGCCCATGACGGAGCCAGGCGGCTGCCCCAGCAACAGCATGGCAGTCAGGACCAAGCTATGGACAATCATAGCACTGGAGGCTTCATCGACAGTGGCAGTCAGGACCAAGCTATGGACACTCATAGCACTGGAGGCTGCATCGACAGCATGGCAGTCAGGACCAAGCAACGGACACTCATAGCACTGGAGGCTGCATCGCCAGCATGGCAGTCAGGGTGACTGTGGCAGAGAATGCGGCAGAGAGTGAGAGTGGGAGCATGAGTGTAGCGGGATTCAAGGCGCGGGGGGTCGAGGCAGCGTGGGGACGACAATGCGCATTCCGCGGCACTACGCCGCAGATTGGGGAAGCCATAAGATGCAAGGTCATGAGAAAGGTAGGAACCTTCGAGAAAACTGTTACAGATCTAAACTGCAAGGCGATGACCGTCGAACGTCTCTTTCGCTGCGCGGGTCCTTGATATGGTGTTGCGCTGATCCATCAAGCCGCGGATTGCGCTAATTGCTGCGCGGACAGTTGCGCCAGTCGTTTTGCGAATCGCTGCACTGATGGTTGCGCCGATCGTTGTGGTGACCGCTGGGTTGAGCGCGGCGCTGATCGTTCCGCTGCTTGCGCTACTAGCTGCACTGGTATTGCGCTGACCGCTGCGCTGATATCTACGCTGAAAGTTCCGCTGATCGTCAGATCGCTCCGCCGTGCGACGGAACCAACGGCCGTGTCGTAACTCATTCTCGCTGTAACACTTCAGGATGAACAAGGCTATCTTCTCACGAAGCCAGCCAGTCAAGCGATAGCTCGGGAAGCTATACCGGGATTCTGCGAACGAGTGTTTTGAGGTCAAGATTATCCAGAGGAATATCGAATCTCCAGCAGTCAGAGCCTGAAAACAAGTCTACTAAGGTGAATGGTCACCAGAACGCTTTTGACACAACCACAGCTATGAGAATATATGTTGCTGGAGACGCGAGGTTTGGAGTTAAAAACTCGGGAGAAACTACGAAAAGCGTAACGTTCATGTCCTAGCCATATTTTCCGCCTAAAAAGTTTCACGACAGAACTCTGTCCAAGGTGCCATTCATACCAAAGTACAGAGAGTAATTCATTATATAGAGAGGTACAAGTCAGAACCGAGAGTTGATGCTAAGCTATCTAAGCTACCTAAGCCAAGTACAGTTTAAACAGATCCACTTGAGCCTCCACAGCAGCGCCTAGACTTCAAAGCAGCGCCTAGTATCTTGTTATCTTCTTGTCTTCTTGGCCATCTCCAAAGCAGCTCCACTTGCGCGTCCCACAAGCAGCGGCAGCTTCAAAGTCTTGTTGACCCCTCTTGGCCGTCAGAGGCAAAAGCCCCTGACGTTACACCCACGCACCACGATGAGGTGAGGGTCAATCGCGTGGGGCCTGCTTGGGAGGGAGTGAAGGGGGGGGGGGGGGGGGGGAGTGCTTGGGAGGGGGGAAACGGTTAAAATTAGTGACGGGCAGATGAAAATAAACACCTCGAATTTGACGATAGGTTCCCCCTTCATTGTTGACGGAGTGTTGTCAGAATGACGGCCAGCCGTCAAGAGGACGGCCAGCCGTCAAGAGGCATACCTGAACACACCTGAACCCATACTACTGTATCGCCCGTGTGTGTGTGCCGAATCGAGTCTGACGCTCCTAGTAGTCGTGTGTGTGCCTAATCGAGTCTGTCTAACGCTCCTAGTCGTCGTGTGCCTAATCGAGTCTGTCTAACGCTCCTAATCGTCCTGTACCCACTAGCACACCTCTTACAGGCCTGGCGCTTGCGCTGGTTGCTCCCGCTTGCGCTGGTTGCTCCCGCCCCCGCCAAGTCTGCTGGGAGGGGAGGGGAAGTCAAATTCCACCTCACTCCTTCCTCGCTCCTTCCTCCTTGCTCCTTCCTCCTTGCTCCTTGCTCCACGTGTGTGGAGCCTCCCTCGAGACCAACTTACCTGCACCACAGACGACAAAAAGAAGAACATTAGTCATTTTGAAAACGAAACAGCGCGCAAAAAGCGAGAAAGGTGACAGAGAGAGGAGTGCAAAAGGCGACGAGCGGAAAGGTGGCGAGACGTCGGGACGAACAGACCACCCAGCAGAGAGAAGCGCCATCACACACCGTGAGCCGCGGTGCGCCGTGCTCTGATGCCCCGCCGTGTTCCGATGTCCCGCCGGGCGCGCGTAACGCCTTCCCCGAAGAAACGTCCCACGACGCGACGCGAGCTCCCATCCCCGCTTCGCCTGCGCTAAAGACGAACGCACACAATAATAGTTAGTTTCATAATCAAAGAAAAAACTCAACGAAATGAAGGCGGCACTTACCAGGCAAGGGAGACCACCACCCCGCGTTACCTCCTTTGCTCGGCGCTGTCCCCGCGACCTCCCCCTCCCGGTACCGCCGCTCCTGCACTAAGACGGAACAGACAAGAAGAAGTTAAACCAGGAGAAAAAACAAAAGCGGGAAACTGAAACTAAGACTTACCACGAAAAGGAAGTCCCCTCCCCAAGCTTTCTCGCCGCCAGCGCCGTTGCTCCCCCTCCCGCTCCTCCTGGCTGCACTAAGACGGAAGCACACGGAAAGAAGTTAATCTCTGGAAGAAAACGAAAGCAGGAAACGGGAAGTGATACTTACCACGAGAAAAGAAGTCCCTCGTCGCCGCCAGCGCCGTTTGCTCCCCCTCCCGCTCCTCCTGGCTGCACTAAGATGGAAGCACACGAAAAGAAGTTAATCTCTGGAAGAAAACGAAAGCAGGAAACGGGAAGTGATACTTACCACGAGAAAAGAAGTCCCTCGTCGCCGCCAGCGCCGATTGCTCCCCCTCCCGCTCCTCCTGGCTGCACTAAGACGGAAGCACACGAAAAGAAGTTAATCTCTGGAAGAAAACGAAAGCAGGAAACGGGAAGTGATACTTACCACGAGAAAAGAAGTCCCTCGTCGCCGCCAGCGCCGTTTGCTCCCCCTCCCGCTCCTCCTGGCTGCACTAAGACGGAAGCACACGAAAAGAAGTTAATCTCTGGAAGAAAACGAAAGCAGGAAACGGGAAGTGATACTTACCACGAGAAAAGAAGTCCCTCGTCGCCGCCAGCGCCGTTTGCTCCCCCTCCCGCTCCTCCTGGCTGCACTAAGACGGAAGCACACAAAAAGAAGTTAATCTCTGGAAGAAAACGAAAGCAGGAAACGGGAAGTGATACTTACCACGAGAAAAGAAGTCCCTCGTCGCCGCCAGCGCCGTTTGCTCCCCCTCCTGCTCCTCCTGGCTGCACTAAGACGGAAGCACACGAAAAGAAGTTAATCTCTGGAAGAAAACGAAAGCAGGAAACGGGAAGTGATACTTACCACGAGAAAAGAAGTCCCTCGTCGCCGCCAGCGCCGTTTGCTCCCCCTCCCGCTCCTCCTGGCTGCACTAAGACGGAAGCACACGAAAAGAAGTTAATCTCTGGAAGAAAACGAAAGCAGGAAACGGGAAGTGATACTTACCACGAGAAAAGAAGTCCCTCGTCGCCGCCAGCGCCGTTTGCTCCCCCTCCCGCTCCTCCTGGCTGCACTAAGACGGAAGCACACGAAAAGAAGTTAAGCTCTGGAAGAAAACGAAAGCAGGAAACCGGAAGTGATACTTACCACGAGAAAAGAAGTCCCTCGTCGCCGCCAGCGCCGTTTGCTCCCCCTCCCGCTCCTCCTGGCTGCACTAAGACGGAAGCACACGAAAAGAAGTTAAGCTCTGGAAGAAAACGAAAGCAGGAAACCGGAAGTGATACTTACCACGTTGACGTTGCCGCCAAGCGCAGAGAGAAGCGCCGTGAGTCCCCCCGCAAGACACGCCTCTCGCCCGCGAGACACTTCGTGCCTCGCGCCACGCGACGTCACGCATCGTCATCCGCCCTCGCCATACGCCGGCTGACGGTCAGCTTCTGCAAGTCGTTGAGGAGAAGGAGAATCAGCAACGAAGAAAAAGGAGAATAAAATGTAACCTTCACGTCGTCACGCTTCTACAAAATATAAAGAATTTGATGAAAATGTCACCTTCACGATAGCTCAGGTTTGGCGAAGAGATCCGCACGACGAAGTGACGCCAGCCCTCGCCGTCCGCTTGCGTCGTGAGACACGCCACTGACGATAGAGTCCTCGTCGCTGACGGTAGAGCGACGGAAAACCGACCAAGTGACGGCAGGGACAAGTGCCGCCAAGCGCCGTGAGTCCCGCCCAAAGAACCGTCGCTATGCGGCATTCTTCTCCATTCGTCGCCATCGCCATACGTCGCCAGGTTCTGCAGGAAAGCAAATCAACGCGTTAGAATGTAGGCAAATTAAAACAAATCTGAAGCTGCCAAGACGTGTTGAGAACGGATCGCTAAACTGCACATTACCTCAGCTCGAGCGAGGCCGTCACCGTCCCCTCGCGACGTGAGACAGTAGAGTCTTCGTCGCCGTCCGTATGTGTTCACGCGACCAAGACGGTCGCCAAGGCGGTCGCCAAGACGGTCGCTAAGACTGTCGCCGAGATCTGCAGGGACAAGGCAGCGCGTTAGTACTTCACTCACGGGTAGACTTATAACGAGAAAGGCGGCACAACGGGTAGACTTCACTCACCCCAGCTTGAACCAAAGTGTGACGCATCTCGGCGCATCGTGGCGAGGTCGAGGTCGAGGTGCCATCGCCGTCGCATCTCCCGCGATTGATAGCATCGGAAGTTTCAGCTTCAAGTCTCACGATGGGCCGTTTTCGGTCTGCAGCAGGGAAAGGAAAAAGGTTACTTGGAATTCATATAATGGAAACGTATAGCTGAATTTCGTCAACTGAGAAGACGAAGGAAAGCTAGAGCTACTATTCACTTACCCAAGCCAAACGACAAGGATCTTCACCCGAGAGGCTTCGCGACTCGTATCCGGGCCAACGGCGATGGTGACAATCGGCGATCATCACTTGGGCTTGAGTGCGTCCACTCGTCAGCCTTCGTGATATCGCCAGTCCGGAGCTTGAAGCATCCCGCGATTGAAGTGCAACCCGCGTTTGAAGCGCCTTTCCGACTTAGGCTCCAGGTCCGACTTGAAGCAAAGTTCGCCATGAGGTCTGCGGGAAGAAAGCAACAGGTTAGTACAATGCTAAAAAGCTTAAAAGCTTAAGAACTGAACTGGCCAAAAAGCGTTACAGGAAGAAGCCGAAAAACGCTGCACATACCTCAGGTCTTAACGACGCTTCAGGTCTTAACGACGGCGCTTCAGCGCTTCAGTCGATTTACGCTGCACTTAGCGTCGGCGCTTCAGGCCTTAACGACAGCGCTTAACGACGGCGATCGTTGCTGCGTCGTCGCTTTCGAATGGCCATCTTCGGACGGTCGCCGAGGCCTGGAAACGAAGAGGCAACAGATTAGTACTTTAGACAGAGCACCCAAGTTACTGAAAGGCGAGTGAGAAAGGGAAAGTTAATTAGAAGTTAAACTGTCAATGGTACACGTACCCCGATTTGGCCGACCTGTCCGCCGTTGGCGACGGCAATTTGAACGCGATGATCGGCGAGACTTCCCGTTGGGCTTCAGGCTGGGCCAATCTGTTCAAACTTCAAACTTCAGGTCCGCGTAGGAAGCTTGAGCTTGACGTCTGCAGGAAAACAAGGAACGCGTTAGCAGTATTCTCAGACGCACGTCAAACGGCGGAAAACAAACGATTCAGAACGTAACAAAACAACGACGAAGTTGAAGAGAAATTACCGTCTCCGTGTAGGAAGGTCGGAGGAAGGTCGCACCTTGAATCAGCATCTTAAGCCCGTTGAAAAAATTTGAAGCTGAAGCTCTTTCCAAGACGAGCTTGGAACGAAGACGCGACTCGCATCCGGAGCTCGGCCAACGGCGATGGTGACAATCCGAAGCTCACTTGGGCTCATCACTTGGGCTTCAGGTTGGGCTTGAGTGAGCTCGAAGCGCCAGCGACGGTAGATGCTCTCATCCGGTTTTGAAGTGCGACGAGAAACGGATAAGGAGGTCGTCTGCAGAAAAACGAAGAGCGAGTTAAAAGGTGAAAAGGATTTAAAAAGAAGTCGAACTATTTTTTGCGGATCTGGAAAACAAGAAGAATAGTCCTTGCCTCCACTCAATAGTCATTGTGTTGGAAGACTTTGCAGGTGGAGCTTGAAGATATCGGATCTTCACACCAAAGATATCGCCGGTCCGGAGCTTGAAGCATCTCGCCATTGAAGTGCAACCCGCGTTTAAAGCGTCTTCCCACTCGACCGTCTCCGTGTTGGTGACGGGGAAGAGACCGCAGCGACTTCCCTTGGACGCAGCGACGAGGGTGGCCGCGAAGCTCTCTTGTAGATCTTAACGGCGACACTTCATGTCTCGCCAAGACGGTCGCCACGAGGTCTGCGGGAAGAAAAGCAACATGTTAGTTCCTGAACAATGTTAAAAAGCTTAAGAACTTAACTGGCCAAAAACGGTTACAGGAGGAAGTCGAAAAACTTTGCACTTACCCCACTCGACCGGTTAAGACCTCCAGGGAGCGACAGTGAAGGGCGACATAGTCTTTGCGGTTGCGAGACTTGTCTTCCCCGCAGAAGCGACGGGGGAAGGTCGGCAACAGCATCGTAAAGCTGAAGCATTTGAAGCCGAATCTCTGGCCGAGACGAGCTTGGAGCGGAGACCCCGTTGCGATTTTTCCGCCGTAGAAATCCTTGGCGTGGAGATATTGCAGAGATGATCCTGGCTGCGTCGGCGCTATGATTTCAGGGAAGATCGCGCCGTAAAATTCTCGCCGTGGAAGCTTCGTGGCGAGAAGATCTTAAAGAGAAGACTCGCGAAGACTCGCCATGTAAATCTTGCGGAAGCGATCATAGATTAGTCGCGGTGAAAAGGTTGCCGCGAAAGGTTTTCGCACACGGTTCAGCCCAAGGCACTTGGCAGCTCGCTCCTCACGGGACTCTACCCACCCACCCCACCCCGACCTCTATTCTAACTCAACGCCGCTTTGTGCCATGGGCCTCTCCGTGTACTAGTAACCCGGTCGCTTCAGGTAGCATAGTTTGCTCCGTGGAGCTTCTAGCCTGAAGTCTAAGCTCATTAGGTTGGAGCTTTCAAAGAATCCTTCCGTCCGTGAGTTTGTGAAGGAAGAAAATGGTCAGACATGGACACACCTTCGATAGTTATGCTCAGAAAGGTAGCGGAGGTTGCCGCTGAAACAGAAAGTGGTGGTGATGAATGGGTGAATGAGTTGAAGTCAGCAGTTCAACCACGGCGGCGTGTCGTAGCGCGACTTCGAACCAAATGTGATAGAAAAAATACGGCATTTACCTAGGTGCAGTACGGTCGGACGGGTTGCCACACTCTTGCTCTGCCGGAGTGGGAGGGAATTACTGACATTACGCTGGGTGCGCGGTGCGATAGTAAACAGAGTGTGTTGTGAATGGGTGGATGGTGGTGGTGTAACCTACCTCAACGGTGACGATTACATTGGCTGTGGCATGGGATGGGGGCGTGGTGATGACCATTGTCATTGGCCAATGATATGCTCCGCCGACTAAGCGGCAGCGGACATTTCTAAAGGCGGCTCGAATGTGCCCCGCCTTATCCATCCAGCCCAAACCATGTCGTAGATTCATCGCTCTGTACACAGTTGGGTTAAATTTGAATATTGGTTGCAATTTTGTCAGTATGCAAACGAATTTGCTAAGGGCGAGTATATCCAATGGGGGGGGTTGCTGGGTGTGCTGGTCTCCCAGGGCAGGCTCGAACTTTCTAGGAGGTGGTTTGACGTGGCGCTAATTTTAGTTGGGTCAGCATGAGTGAGTTCTTTTAGTTTCGGCGTGAGTTGCGGGACGGCTCTGGTTTGGTTAGGGGTATTCGTCCGTGGCACTGTGACTCGCTTTCATCCTTACTCGGGCAGCTGGGAAAAGAATGGGTGGATGAGAAGAGATTTGCGCGAACCAATGGGAATGATCGTGTTTTGGACAGCCTGGCACAACCACCATGGCAATATCAACATCCCGAACCTCGACTTTCCGAACCTGTCACACCGAATGCTCCTCAGCTGTCATTGTGCAGATGTAATATCGTGGGTCTGACTTACCCTAGATGTGTTAGGTACAGTAGTAGTTTCGCTATGTCAGATCTCAGCGCGGTAGCCGATAGAAGTCGAATTCTTTGACGATGCAGCAAGTGCCGCTCAGTCCTCGGTCGTACGTTCAGTTAGTCGCTTCACGCATCTAATGGCGTGCTAGCAGTATTAGATATGCTCAAATATAGCAGTCTCTGTAAGACATTTACTTGCGCGCTCCAGATCTGACTTACATTTACTTGCGTAATGCGCAGAATCATACTATCGTCGATTTCGTACGCATCAATAACGTAGTGCGTTTCGTCGATTAGACAGCGCGTTTCGTCTACCTCACAGCGTCGACTGTATCCTGGACGCAAGACGCGGTAAGGGAGGTGAGCGGAGGTGACGGTAATTTCCCCTTCCCTCTCCCCTTTCCGCTTTCCCCCTCGTGACTTCGGAGCGTCGACGGTATCTTGGACGCGAGACGCGGAAAAGGAGGACAGGAGGTGAGTGGAGGAGAGTGGAAGGGAGAAGAGGGGGAAGGGGACGGAGAGGACTGGCGGTAGGGCGAAGCGGCCATTTCCCCCTTATTTTCCCCTTCCGCCTCCCTTTTCCGCCTCCCATTTCCGCCTCCATTTTCTCCCTGTCACCTTTTCTCCCTGTCACCTTTTCTCCCTGTCACCTGGCCTAGAAGCGTCACGCATCTCTCATCTTCCCAAGTCGCTCATCCTCATCCTTCCTCGCTTTCCCCCGCTCTTCCCTCTTCTTTCCGCGCTTCCCTCGTCTCGCCGCTTTCCCCTCATCACCCCCTCCTCCCCTCATCTTTCCCGCTCTCTCATCTTCCCCGCTCTCCTGTCATCTTCCCCGCATTCCCGTCGTTCCCCCCTCTCTCCCTTCATCCAACCAGCCCCCCCTCCATATCACTGCCGCGCTCTGTTGTTTTCTTCCTTCACGCCCACCCTCATCTCCCTTTGTCTCACTCTGTTCCCCCTCTCTCCCCATCCTCCCCCGTTCCCCGCTTTCAGACTCACCCCTCATCTCCTTCCCCCTCCCATACCTCAACTTCCCCCCTGGTGATGCCTCGTCTCCCCCTCCCCACCCTCTCTCCATCCACCCTTCAACTCCCTCCCCTCCCCTACCACCGCCCCCTCATTTCCCTCATCTCTCACACCCCCCTCCACTCTTCCACAGCCTAGCCAGAATATGGTGAATTCCACTCTCAGGCCTACCTTAACTGCACCTGTGAGTGCGGCTGCTTGTGTTTGCCGCATGCATGTCATTTGATTTCGCAGCTGCCTGGTCTGGAACGTGGCTGCATGTGGCGTGATTGGTTGGCTTGGCAGCTACAGAACGACTCTCTGGGTTCCTGGTCTGATGCATGGCTGCATTTGATTGGCCAGCAGCAGGTCCACTAGATTCTGCTGTACAAGTTTTGATTGATTGTGTTATACAGGCTGTTTGTACCAGACCTGATACACAGAAGTCTGAAATTTTGGCAAATCATATGACTCTTGAAGTCTCAACCATGGCCCATAGAGTGGAACACACATGGATGGACTGTTCATGGCCCATTGTACCAGCATGGCAGTTTCACAAGGCA